TTCAGGATTACTTTTCTGGGACTATTTTTCCACAAGTCAAGGATGGACCCTATGACACGGCATGTATGTATGTAGATGGAAACTGTCAATATTAGTACTTTGCTTGTAGCACGGTTTTGTCTGAGTAATTGTCGGCATGAATAATTTTAACTTTAATTTTGATCTTTAGTTTTAATCTGTTTCAGTACCTGATGAATTTACCATCCAGTTTGCGAGGATGTTTTATTTGCCAAGTTTGACGTCTACTTCATTATGTGCGTTGAATGCCATTGTCATAACAGTCATGGGCGATGGCGGAAGTAGGCAAAACCTTCTCCAATGTTAGGATGATATACTAACAACCTTGGCATTTCACAGAAGTGAGTGTCACTACTAGAAAAACCCCTACTAATGGCGCACCTAGTATGGTCATTAATGGCGCATCTGTGGTGCGCCATTAACAGCACGCCATTAGTAATTTTTACTAATGGCGCACCATCTGGTGCGCCATTAGTATAGGCCAGGGTGCGCCATTAGTATGCCTCCCAGGGGCCATGTATATCCAGGTGCTTTGGCATACTAATGGCGCACCACCACTGGATGCGCCATTAGTAACCATGGCATATTAATGGCGCACTTACCAGTGATGCGCCATTAGTATGCTTGCTTTGTCATACTAATGGCGCACTGTCATGTGATGCGCCATTAGTATGTATATTAGGTTTTTTTTATTTTTTTATTTTCTGTTTTTTGCACAGGTTACAAAATGTATAATTTGACAAAATATAGACAGCACACATCAACAACAGATTCATCGAATACAATAAAAAATTAGTCTTTGAATACAATTCATCATATTAGTCTCCGAATACAATTCATCATATTAGTCTCCGAATTGAAAAGACCAAACAAAGATAGAACATTATATTACAAGTCTCGAGACCGCGAGTAGCGAGTTTGACTTCACATTACAAGTCGATATCGATCATCTAAACTACCATCACATAGAAGAGAGCTGCGGTCATCACGATGAGCATCATCACGATGAAACTCGTCTTCATCCGGTTCCTCCAACGCTCCCTCCCCTCTCCCGCTAGATAGCGGGCGTATCTAGATTCGGCCTCGGCCCTAGTGTGTACCCTTTGTAACTGTTACCGCTGAATCGGTGAACCTGTCTCCGACAC